ACAGTTAATAAAGTAACTAATAGTAGGTGGCCCCTCTTGACCTCCCTAAGCCATGGGCTTTTGACCAGATATACAGTACCATGCATGAATTCCCTCTGTGGGGCAGACCTCAAGTCCAATCAGAAAGTGCCCCGTATGTCATGCCATTATTACATAATAAGTGCATCTTGCTTGGGAGGTTGGCATTGCAGCCAGCATTCAGGGTCCAGTGCTGGGTAAAACCGCTGATAGATCTCTCTTTCCTAGTGGCTTGTGCAGCACATGCAAGCACTATGAACGCTAGCCAGCAGCGAAGAAGTTTCCTGGTCATTTTGAGATAGATTTCTCTATATCCTTCAACCAAAGTGAGTGGTGTCTTCCCCAGTCGTTATGTTGGGTAGCCAAGAACAATAGCAATAGCTATTTTCTGAACAATAACTTTAAGGGGAGTATCCCATGCCGAGCACTGAAATTTTTGTTTAGTAACCTGTGTCTTCTGGGAGTAGCATTATCCACCCATGTAGGATACCGCTGTTCGAACTCTTTTGTTTCTCCTAAATCCAGAATGCTAACCCTTACATGGTGGAACCAACTCTTTAAACTCCTTTTACAGAAAAAAAATCTATTTTATAACTAGCTAACCATTGGTGGTGGATATCCATAAGGCTTCTTAATTTTATCAACTAAATCCCTGTCCCCTCTTCTCCCCCATCCCTAAATCCCATTAATTCTTAAACCTTTAATCTTCTGTATCCCTGCATCTTCATACATATCATTTGAATTCTACTGTTCCTATGACATTTTTGGGATGCATGGTAATAGGTTTCCATATGGCTTTCCCATACACCCTTCATTTTGGTTAACCTTCCTACTGCCCCCTTGTTTAACCTCATGTTCACTCCACCTTCTCTGCTTGAACCTTTCCATTCTCAGCATTCCTCCCTCTCCTTGGATTTTCCCTGGATTTTACTTTCCCCACTCCATTAATGTATCCCTTCCTATTGGCCACTTTCTAATTTCCTGAGTTCATCTTGTATTTCCAGTTTAAAATACAAAACAAGCCAGGCGGTGGTGGCAAACGCCTTTAATCCCAGCACTCGGGAGGCAGAGGCAGGAGGATCTCTGTGAGTTCAAGGCCAGCCTGGTCTACACAGTGAGTTCCAGGAAAGGCGCAAAGCTACACAGAGAAACCCTGTCTCGAAAAACAAAAAACAACAACAACAACAAAAAAAAATCCAGAGCTCTGATCCATATGAGAGAGAACATACAGCACTTGTCCTGGAGCTGGGTGGCCTCACTCAGTATAATTTTTCCAGTGCTATCCATTTCTCTGCAAATTTCATACTTTTACTTTTTATATCTAAGTCATATCCCATTGTGTATATGGCATTTTCCTTATCCAGTCAGTTGATGGATATTCAAATTAATTCTGTTTCCTAGCTTGTAAATAGAGCAGCAGTGAATATGGGTGTGTAGATAACTCTGCGGTAGGCTATAAAGTCCTTTGAGTGTATACCCGGGAGTGGCATATATCGAGTAGAGTTCAATAAATGTCCTGTGTTGTACAGTACAGTCTTCCCTAACAAAATATAATCAGATCCAAATTGTCAATAGTGCCAGGTTAAGTCCTGCTCTAGTTGTAATGAGGAAAAGAAGTTTTTTGTGTCTTAAACCCTTTTCTATTTTAGAGTAAGATTCATTTAACTTACAAGTAAGTCATATTAAATGATATTTGCTTCCTTAGTTATCTTTGGATATATGATTTAAGGACAGGCTCTGAAATTATGCCAGTGTCTGAGATAAATGATCAGGATTTTTAAAATATGGACATAAATCAAGTAGAAATTTAATTAGAGCTAGTGAAGAAGTTTCAGTAATACAGCCATTTACAAAATAAATAATATAAAAATCAATAGCTTTGCTATGTTTAGGCAATAGTTGTTGGGAAATACATCAAGAAAATGCCCATTAACAATTTCAGCCAAAATTATGAAATACCCAGGAGTAAACTTTTGAAACTATGCATGACTTTGATGGAGAAAACCACAAAGTTGCACTGAGACATACAGAAGATACACTGAATAATGAACAGGACCACTGAATGAGCAGACTCAGTGATGTCAAAATGATATTTACCTTCAAATTAATCTGTCCATCTAATGCAATTTTGGTGAAGCCATAGTTATTCCTTGGGAATCAGGAAAGGAGCAAAGGACTTGAAAAGATTCGGCAATTCAAATGGAGGAATAAATGCATGAGACCTGCCATCCCTGATGTTGTGTTAGGCTAGTAATGATGGAGTGGTTCCGGGAAAATATATCAAAATGCATAGGTTGATGCTCTTCCTGTAAGTTTAAAATGTTGTGTCATGTAGAAATAAATAATTCTAAGGCTATAATAATTGAGATTCTATTATGTAACAGGCACAGGAAGAAAAAAAATCAGTGTAATATTTTAAGGCCCAGAAACAAACCCGTGTGTATGACGGTGGCATTTCAAATCCGCAGGGGGAGAGGGTAAAATAATGAATAAATGAATTGTAATAGCTGGCTAACTGTTGTTTGCTTAAAATATTAATCATAAGAAATATTGCATGAATTAAAGGTAGAAAATAGAGTGCATAAATATTTTAAAAGCAGAGGTGAATATGAAACTATGTAAGTAGTCTTTCCCACACTGGCTACAAGAACATATACTTACGTCTAATTCTTAAATAATATAGGTAAATGGTTTCAAAGTAAAACTATAAATACTACAAATAGATACACTACACCCCTGTGCACTGCACCCTTCACCATTTTCCATACCCAGAGCTAACCACTGTCATTGTGGTCTTAGGCTTCCACCTTTAAAAACTATGATTATTATAGTTACCGTGTGTGGGGGTGGGTGGGGGTGGGTGGTGCATGTGCATGTGTGTGTGTAGGGGGGGTGGTGGCACACATGTCATGGCTTGCACAGAGAACTCAGAGGACAACTTTTCTTGAGTCAGTTCTCTCCTTCTGCCTTTATGTAGGTTCCAGGGACAGAACTCAGACTGTCTATCTCAAATGATAGATGCATTTGTAGTATTTAAAACATCGATCACCCGTTTTCCACAGGAGCCAGGCCAGTTTACACTCTCATTAGGAATCCATGAGGCTGCCTGATTATTTTCTTCTTGTCCTTATTAAAGTGTGTTAGTAGTTTTTGAGTTCTTGTCATCTGCTTTGTGAAATTGCTTTCAATGTAGTTACAATTTGCAGTTTTCTCTTAAAATTAGATTGAACACTTTTTCTCATGTTTAAGAGGGAAAGTCTTTTAAAATATTATATTGAGACCTATACTAGTCCATAAAGGGAAAATAATGCAAAGATTTGGCCACTTATAGAACAGTAACAAGTTAAAAGCCACTGACAAACTGGGGTAGGAGAATATTTACAACATACGGCAGAATAAATAGCCTTGCTATTTCATGTTATTAAAAATCACTAGCTGAGGATGTTCCCTTCTCTTTCTAGTTGGTTGAGTGTTTTTATCATGAAAGGGCATTGCATTTTTGTCAAATGTAGTTTTTTTCTTCTCTTGAGATGATAATGTGTTTTTTAATAACAGTATAATTGACATATAATTCACATCTTGCAATTCACTCTTTGAAATTGTACAATTCAGTGGTTTTTAATATAGCCACAGAGTATACAACTGCCACCAGAATGTAAGTAGAGAACTTTTTCATTACCCCTAAAAGAAACCTTGTACACAGTTAGCAGTCACCCTTCATTAACCCCCCCCCCCCCCCAACCCCTGCAGCCCTTGGCAACCACTAATACACTTTCTGTCTTTGGCTTGGCCTATTCTGGACATTTCCTATAATTGAAATCATGCAATACATTGCCTTTGTGCCTGTTTCTTTCATTTAGCTTACTAGTTCCAAGATTTGTTCATGCTATAGCATAGATCAGTGCTTAATTCTTCCTTGTTAACTCTGGGAGACTAGAGGACTGAGAGCCTGACTTCTTGTTAGCATAAAGCTGTCACCTTTTAATTGCTTACCACCAAAGCTTCATCTTCTAAGAGGGAATCCTTCAACTGGAACTACTTCGTGTTATGTTTTACATAAAGTCATTTCATTGTGGGAGAGTTTGGGAGCTCTCAGTTCTTAGGACCAGCTGTTAGCTCTAGGGAAAAATCTGTCTTTGATCCAGGACTTTGGATGCTGGGCAGTGGGAAGAGCCACTGGTCTTGATGGCCTCTTCACATAGGGAACTCAGAGCTGCGAATGAGCTTGGGCAATGGAATCAGAGTGGGGTGGTTGGATCCCTACTATTCTCTGCCCTCTGTCATGGAGTTTCTATCCTATGAATGGGAACTGGTTAAAAGAAACAAGTCCCAGAAGGTTTGGCTATATTCCCCAGGAATTTTGCCCTTCTCGTCTGTGTTGGAGGTGATGAGAATACTGGCTGCTTGCTTTCTCATGGAAGGCCTGTCTCCCTTGATTGAGAGCCAGAGCCAGAGGGCACCCAGTCTTCTAAGCTGCTCTTATCCCGAGTGTTACTTGCACAAAGGTGGGCAAGAGGATGGGAGGAAAGCAGTGAGTTATAGCTCATATGCCAGATGTAGACCATCACTGTTAGATCACTGACTTTTAACAGATGTTCTTGAAGAAATGCTTTTTCATTCACTGTATATCCTTAGGGTAATTTCCAGCAGCTTACAATTTTTAAAAGCCACTTTCACCAGTTCTGAATAGTCACATAGGCGTTCTTATGCTGCACTTCCAGGGAGAGGATGCTTCTCATCTAATTACTGTTTCGGTGAGGTCGCTAGAAGGCTATTAGCAGGCAGGACTGGTGATCATTTTTAAAGTACGGCTTCTGCTGGGTTTTTTGTTTTGTTTTGTTTTTGTTTTTTTACCAAAGAGATTTTATTTGTAGTTGCTTGGTTTTCCATTCTTTGCTCTTATTTCCCCAATGTAAATGCATTTTGTACTTTTGGAGAGTTATTTTTAGTCACTACATTTTGCTTGTTACTCTGATTTTTAGGTTGGCTCCAGCATCTACTACTGTGGCCACCACTGACAATTCCAGCACCATGTTTCCTTCGATGCCAACTGTTCCTGTAAGCCTGGCTTCCCAGGAACTCTCATGTAAGTTTTATTCATTTTAAAGAAATTATTGTTATTTTCATGAGCCTACTTAACTCAGTGTGTCAATAGAAACTATGGATTTCCTGTATCATATAAATAATCACTATGTTTGAATCCATCTATGACTGTTGACATCAGTAGTAGCTTTGCTTTAATAAAGTTTATTATTTTTTTTAATTATCATGGTTAATGTCTTAGTTACCTTTCTATTGCTGTGGTAAGACACTTTGCCCAAGGCAGCTTATAGAAAAAAGAATCTATTGGGGTTTGCTTAGAGTTTCAGAAGGCTAGAGTCTGTGGCCATTGTAGCAGGAAACATGGCAGCAGGCAGGCCTGGCACTGGAGCAGTAGCTGTGAGCATACATCTGATCCACAGCCAAAGGCAGAGAAAAAGCTAACTGACAATGGCATGGGCTTTTGAAACCTAAAAGCCCTCCCCCAGTGACACACCTCCTCCTAGGCCACACCTCCTAATCCTTCTCAAACTAGTCTACCAACTGGGGGCCAACTATTCAATCATAGGAGCCTATGGAGGCTAATCTCATTCAAACCACCACACTAAATATGCCTTAAAGGGATACATTTTAGCATCTACTTCATTATCACTATAGTGTTTTGAGATAACTATTACTAATAGGAAAGGAAGTTTGCCAAGTACACCTGAATGGAAGGAATACAAAAAGGATACTAAGTGTATTCTTATGTACATTCCCAGTTTATGCTCTTTATAGTTTATCTGCTAAATGTCTGAAATTCATCACTTCTTTTGGTACTAGTTGAAATATTATTGTTACTCAAATATGCCAGAGATAGTTTATGCCTTGTGATGGCTTGAAAGAAAATGGCCCCTAATAGGGGTGACACTATTAGGAGGTCTTGTTGAAGAAGGTGTGGTCTTGTTGGAGGAAGTGTATCACTATAGAGGCGGGCTTTGAGGTCTCATATATGCTCAAGCAACAATCAGTGAGACAAGTCACTTCCTGTTGTCTGCTGGTCAAGATGTAGGACTCTCAGCTCCTTCTCTAGCACCACTTCTGCCTGCATGCTGCCGTGTCCCACCATGATGATGATGGACCAAACCTCTGAAAATGTAAGCCTCCTTAATTAAACATTTTTTCCTTTATAAGAGTTGCCATGATCTTGGTGTCTCTTCACAGCAATAGAAACCCTAACTAAGACATGCTTTTAAAATGGCATGGAAAATAAATAAACTGTACAAAACGTAATCATAGTATTTTAATAAGACTCAAGATTCCTTTACATTAGGCTGACAGGTATTATTTCTGTAAGATAGCATTCAGCATCTTTTGGAATGATATTTTGTTTTTTCTAGTTAGTCATGTTTTTGAGAATGCTGATATTTTGAGTTGCTTTTTTGCTATAAAAATCATACATGCATATGTGTATATATATACATATGCATGCATATATATATACACACACATAGCATTTCCTCTAAGAAGATAATTTTGTTTATCCTTTCAAACTTAATCCCATACGTATAAAATATACATTAAATTATCTGCTTTTTGTAAGAATGGGACAATATTTTTTTTTGATTTTGCTTTCTGTATAGCTATAACTAAAGCATTGACCAAAAGCAACTTGGGAAAGAAAGGATTTGTTTGTAGGCACTCAAGGAAGCAGGAACTGAAGCAAAAACATGGAGGAATGCTTCTTGCTTGATTGCTCTCAGGCTCCTGTGCAGCTGTGTTATTATACAACCCAGGTCCACCTGCCCAGAAATGACACTTCCCATAGTGAGCTAGGCTCTCCTTCATCAGTTACTAATAATGAAAGTGCTCCAACAAACATACACCTGCAGGCTACTCTGATGGACACAGTTCCTCAGTTGAGGTTCCCTCTTCTGGTTTGTTTCAAGTTGACAAAAATTGACCAGCACACTGTTGCATTTCCAGTCCTGGAGTTTATCATCCCTCTTAGCTATATGTCTGTGTATCTGTCCAGTTCAGAAATTCAAGTTACTTTATTAGACAATCTTCTCTGGATAAGGTAGACTCTTTCCCAAAGATTCATTTTAATTTTTCTCTTGAATGTATAGTCACTAGTGTTAAAATGAATTAACAAAGTAGGCCTTTTGATAATATGATCAATTGCCATTATTCCTAGGGAAATGGTCTCCTTTTGGATAAAGTTTTTAATCTCAAGTGAAGAAAATAATGCTATCTAGCTATACAGAACACCAACTGGGATCCAACCTGCAAGCTCCCCAGTGCTCTTATGGATACTAACCCCAAATACTTCGTGACTGAGCATAGTCTTCTTGAGTGCTGCTCATTTCACTCTCACACAAGCTAGCACAAAGAATGTAGTATTACCATAGGCCCCCTATGCCAAAAGGGACATGGAATTTTAGAAAAATCTCCTGCAGACTTTTCATGCCACTGTTACCTCAGGGAAAGTGGAACTCAAGAAACTGTTCGTGTGGCAGCCTTACAAGTATTACATGCATGTCATTTTTGTTATTATCCCTTTATCTACATTTTTTTCTTTTAAAATTTCTCACTGGTTTCTTCCTTCCTTTTTCTGACTTTGTATTTTGTCTTGTTCCTAATTTTGACTTGTTCATGACCCCTTTATTTTACATAAGTTCTTTGTCAGTCTTCTCAGCTCCCTCTTCTTAGTCTGATTTTTCTACATTTTTGAGTTATTTCCCAATTTCTTTGTATGTTTCATCTGGTTCCATATTTCTGCATGCATTTCTATATTTCTACATAGAGTTTGATTCTTCCATGTCACTCAATTTTTGAGAATGAGATTCTGATCTATCCTAACTCTAGCTAGAGCTTTTTTGATGTTGCCCCTCCTCATAAGCTAGTGGCATATGGGGCACCTTCCTGTACTTGACACACTTGTTGCTGTGAACCAGGATGAACAGGCAGAGTTACCTGGAATAAAGCATGGGTGTCTGAGCCTGTTCATTTAGCATGAATGGAGTAGGCCAGGCTCCCTAGACTAGTCAATGCACTTAGCAGGCATCATGAATTCTGTGGTTATATAGTACAGCCATTAACCTGAACATATTGTTAATTGGGAAGGCTAGGCTAACATAAACCATTGTGTACAAGTAATATTTTTATTCCAAATTTCTTGTTACACAAGACTCATTTAATTGCCAAGAAGGTCTGAAACTACAGAGAACCACAAAGAAGAAAGTAATATATTCCCAATCCCCTACAGCCATAATTTTCTTCATTGTTCTTTATATGCTTGGTATAGAGTAAGGATCAATAGTGCTATCAAAGGTATGAAAATTATATGTAGAAGTCATCAACAAACATAGGAAACATAGGACTTAAACTAGGAGGTCTATTCTAGAAGGGATACAACAAAAAGGTGTAAAAGAGGTCTGGGATGTCAGAAAAAGTTTGAAAGATGCATGCCTAGTGTTAGCTAAGATGTAGAGAAATAGGCACTCTTCCTTATAGACCAGAACATAGTTTTTTGGTTTTGTTTTTTGTTTTTTCAAAATCACGTTGGTAGGTAACTTTCACAAGGTACACTGAGATTTCAAAATATCCTTGATTTAGTCCAATGATTTAGCCCTGTGATTTAGCAATTTCATTTGTAAGAATTAGTTTCTCAAATACAGTTGTGTTTTATATAAAATATGTACAGATATTTTATGTATATTGAAAATTTGTGGGTTTTTTTTCTTTGAAAGTTAAATAAAACTTACCAGTGAGGCCATCTGCGTCTGGAGTTTTCAATATTTATGGAAAGAGTTTTGAGAATGGATTAAATTCCTTAATGGTTATAGAGCTGGTTAAGTTATGTTTTATATTTTAATGAATCTCTCCAGGAGTTGTAATTTTCAGCAGGAAGGTTAATTTAGATGCCTGGTGTGCAGTATATCACTTTATATTGCACAGTGTTGGGTTCAAATCTATGACTTTGATTTCAAATTCTTGTTAACAAATGAGTTCCCATATTAAAAAAAATCTTGAATCACTGAGGCTTAACTGACACAAGTTTCTCATTTCTTGCTAACAATGTAAATTCATACCAACACTATCTGTTTTATTTTCTAGCCACAACCTCGACGACTACCACTACTACCGTTACCACCAATACCACTACTACAATTACAAGTGGTTTCAACCTGTATTTCAAGCCACCATCAGCTTGGGCTAATGGCACTGGCTTAATCAGTGTGGCTTCTCTACCAGCTACCATGACTGTAAAGTAAGCTTGTTTATTTGAAATTTTGTGTTTTGTTTTATCGCTTTATAGGCATAATTACATGGGTAGCTTTAGACTAGTATTTTATAAATCAGTTGAGGGAACAGGGAAGGATTTTTTTTAATGTAGCTCAGGATATTGAACAGTCAGCAGGCTTCTGCAATACTGTTATACAGTCATTACTAGTACTACTAATATGTATAATTTATCGTGCAATTCTGCATATTTAGCAAGACAATTCTTTAAGAACATCATACTATTTGATACTCACAATCATCCCATGAGATAGACTCTATTTGGGGTCCTGTTTTATAGAAGACTGGAACACATAGAGATTAGGTAGTTCTTTAACAGTCACACACATTGTAATGTGTGTGCCACGATAAAAATTCTAGCAAACTCTAGAACGTATATAATCTTGCATATCACATGAAATATCCTGTGTGTCCTTTGTACCATTCCTACAATGACAGAATCTTGCATTACTATAGTTTAGAACTAAGCTAGAATATTGACACTGATGCAGATGCAGAATAGGAAGCTGGAGAGAAGGCTCAGTGGCTAAGAGCGCTGCTCTTCCACAGGACTAGAGTTCGGACCTCAGCTCAGAATTGCCTAGAACTCCAGCTCCAGGGGCTCCAGCACCCTCTTCTGGTCTCCATGGGCACCTGTACACATGTACAGGCACTCACACACAGATAGACACACATAAAAAGTAAATATTTTAAAAAATAAATAAAAAACATAAAATAGCTCTGTCACCACAAGGATTCCTTCTTTCCTTAACTCCTGGCAGTAATTAATCTGTTCTTCATTACCATATTCAGAATATTTTAAGAATACTATACAGATGGAGCCATGGCATATGTGTCCTCTAAGAATTGGCCTTGTGTTTTCATTCAGCATAATTCCTTATGTTCCACCCAATAGCTTGATCTCTCTCTCTTTCTCTTTTAATTTCTGAGTAGCATTTCATTCTCTTTGGTATAAAGTAGTTTGTTTAAACATTGAAGTATTGATAGGCATCTAGGTTGTTTGTAGGTTTGGGGCTATTGGTATGAACATTTGTGTACACATGTTTTTGTGAACCTAAGTCTTATGTATCTGGGGTAAATGTCCAGGCATGTGGTTGCTTGTCAGTGTGACATTTGTATATTTATTATTTTTATGTGCCAAATACTTTCCCAGAGTGGCTATGCCATTCTGTGTACCTACCAGTAGTGTATCAGTTACCCAGACTGTCCCTATTTACTTGCTTGGTTGTGGCAATGTGATCCTTTTTTACTACCCTTCTTAAAGATGTGAAGTGATCTTATTGTGGCATGAATTTTAATGTCTAATAATGTTGCACCTCTTTAATTTGTTCTTAGTTCTTTGAGAACTTAATACAGTGTGTTTGGATCATACTTATCCTCTCCTCCCACTCCTCCCAGACCCACCCCTATGCACTTTGTGTTCTACTCTCTGTTTGTACACCCGTCAAGTCGGATTTCTCCTGATCATAGATTATTGGATGTGTGGGCTTCCTCTCCAGCTGCCCTCTTGAAGAAAACTTACTGTCCCTCCCCTAGTAGCTAGACTGAGCGTGGGGCTTCATGCCCACCTCCCCTCCCCATGTCGGGGTTTGGACTGGCGTGGGCTTGCACAGGTCTTGTGCATGCTGTCACAGCTGCTGTCACTTCAGGTGTGGAGCTGCCCTGCTGTGTCCTTATCATCATCCACTGCCTCTTTATCCTGGTTAGCTGCGATACAATGATACATATTTTATATATGTTTGTATTTTTATATATGTTTTGTATGTATGCATGCAGATTTTGTTTTTGCTTTTAAGTTTTGATATCAGAATAATATTTAAAGAATTATTATCAGCTTTACAACAAAAGAAATTATAGAGTTGGTACAGATTCATTAACTATTTTTTAATGAAAACTTCTGCAGCCAGATAAATCTCTTGGGGAATCTGTTAAATTAAAAATAAACTTATTTAATGGATCCAGAACCAGTCAGACTGTCTAGTTCAGCTTTAATGAGCTTCAGCAGTGTGTGGTTTTAAAGGAACAGGTCCATTTGTTTTCTGAGTTGTCAGATTCAAAAGCCTAAAGTTGTTTGTGGCCTTCCCTTATTTGTCCTTTTTGGACAAATATTGGAAAGATATTCTTGTTTGATTTCTGATGTCGGTGGCCTGTGTCTTTCTCGGATGAATGTTATTGATATTTCTCTAAAGAACCAGCTTTTGTTTCATTGATGATTCTGTAAAACTTCCCTGCTTTCAGGCTCATTGTTATCCACTGTTGTTTCTTTTCTCCTGATGATATCGGGTTCATTTTCTTTTGCTAGTTTCTTAACGGATGATCTTAGACTATTGATTTGAGGCATTTTCTTCTCATGCCAGCCTTTAGTGCACGGCTTTTCCGGCAGCCCACATCTCTCATTATGCTCTGATTTCATTTTGAGCCGTGGATTATTGGGGAGCATGTTGTTTACTTTCCAAGTGTTCCGAGATTTCTGTCTTTTCTTTTGGAATTAGTTGTAGTCAGTGAACGGACTCCATATGATTTCAACTATTTTCTATTTGTTCAGATTTTTTTTCTTGTATGGGAGGAAATGGTTCATTTTCCGGAATGTTCCATGGAAACCTAAATATCTGTTTTCTTGTATATAATGTTTTATGTATGTCTGTTAGATTCTGTTATTGTATTTTCAGATTTTGGAGTTTTGCCATATTCTAGTCTAGTACTTCCTTCAGTTGTGAAAAATAGCTTTTTGAAGTTCTCAACCAAATGACTTTGGATTTGTCTTATTTTCTCTCTTTAGCTTTATTAGTTTTTCTTTTAGGGAAAATTCTAGTGCCCTTTGTAGTTGGTTTTATTAACTTTTTAACTACCACACAAAGACATGTGCATCACTATAACATCTACATATATATATATACATCATTTCTTTTATATATATAATTTATATATATATATAATATATATATATAATTTATATATATATATATAATTTGCTTTTATTTTCACCCCTGCTTCTCACACTCGCTTCTTGTTATTAGTCCCTTAGTCCCTTCCTTCTCCCAAAATTGTTCCCTCTTCTCTTCTCATGATCTATAGTCTATCTGTCTTTTTCTCGTGTAATTTGAGGCTTTATTGTTTGGCCGCATATACATTTAGATTGGCAATTCTCCTTGTACCTTAATTCTTTTATTATTATGTAATTTCCTTAACTTTGCATATGGTAATTTTCATTGTTTTGTATTCTACCCTATATAATAGGGACATCATCTTTTCTTTAAAAAACAAACAAACAATAACAACAAACAACACCCCTAGTTTTACACCTTTAATTATTTTATCTTTGGTCAATCCATATCCTGGGAGTGATTTCTTGTAGGCCTTTATATTGTTGGATGTTTTTTTTAACCACATTGTCAAGTACATTTATATTCAAAGCACCTATGGACGATCAGGGCTTGTCTCTGTTGTTCTGTTATTTGAGTTTTACTTTTGATTTGTGTCCTGTTTCTCCTTGTTTTGAATCTTCCCAGGATTGCTGGAAATTTTCAGGGAGTTTCACTTTGTTTTATATATGGTATTTTTAATACTTTGTTTCATATAAATTTTTACTAGTTGCTGTAAATATTAAGGTATACATGTATAACTTAAAACAATCTATTCATATTGATATTTTACCACTTTGGATCAAGTGGAGAAACCCATTACTACCTTTATCATGTAAGTATTGTTATTGTAAGTATTTCTTCTATGTACAATGAACATAATACCCCAGAAGGTTGGGCTTTTCATTCCAGCCACCAAATACAATCTAAGAAACACATTGAAAGTGAATAACACTTTGCCCTTCTTTTCAGCCATTTTGATGCGACAAGACTTGTCATTTCTTTTCTGCATAGTTAATCTTTACAGGTAGATTTGTTAGTAATGACTTACCTTATTTTTTCACTTGCATATAATATCTTTATTTCCTCTTCATTTCTGAAGATGCGATAGTCATGGACACTTTTATTTTCTCCTTTCAGTACTTTGAAAGTGTGCGATTTCACCCTAACCTCACAGTTTCAGATAAGAAATCAACTATCATTCAATTGCTCTTCTAAGTACATTCTTTTCTGTCTGTGTTTTGCTTCCACAATTTTAAAAATTGTCTTTACCTTTCAGAAGTCCAATTGCTCTGTGTCTTCCCATGGTTTGCAACCTTTTCTTCTCAATAATTTTTCAGGCCCAGGCCCATTCTCTCTTTCTGGAACTTCTCTTGCATACATTTTTATCTCATTTATTATTGTCCTCCTATGTCCTTGCAGCTTTTTTCATTTGTCTCTGTTTTCTCTTTGTTGTTGTGTGAATTTTAATTACCTGCCATTAATTAAATGTTCACTGATCATTCTACTGGCAAACCCTTCACGTAGGCTCATTCCAGTTATTTTATTTTTTAGTTGTGTATTTTCCACTTGGTTTTTACAGTCCCCATTTCTTTGCTGATTTTTTTTTGTTTATTTCAAGAGGATTGAAAATTGCCCTCTTTAGACATTTTTAGTGACTGTTTTAAAATTCCTTTCAGACAGTCCCAGCATCTGATACCTCTTAATGTTGTTATCTGTGTTGCTAGCCTTTTCTCTTTCAAGTGGTGATTTTCCCAGTTCTTGATATGGATCATTTTTATTGTGTCATGGCCATTTGTCTATTATGTTAGGAGTGTTTGGGTCCTATTTATATCTACTTTCTTTTCATTAGATAGTCCCTTTGTTGAGCTATAGTGCAAAGGCTGGGTGTGTTTTTATGTTTTGCTTCCCACTGGACCTTGGCTCCAGCATCCTAGCAAAAATGGAGCACTGAGTCATCCTGCTCCAGTGCTCCTGGACAGTGTGGAAGTTCATCTCTCTTAGTTCTACTGACTCATCCCCTGTGAAAGTGGGACACTGTATCACACCAGTTCACTACCTCTCGTGGGAATGCAAGCCCAGCTTGCAGATGGGCCCTGGAGCACCAGATGAAGAGGCAAGTGATGAACTACCTCAGTACTTTAACTGATGAAGGGGTAGGCAAAATTTCAAGTTGGACCTTACTGATGGAGGACACAGGATGTCAATTTCTCTACCTCCTTCTACTTTGTATGGCCTCATTGATGTTCTGTAGACATGGAGGCTTGGCCCTCTACTGGGCCTCACTGACACAAGGGTCATGGAAGAAAGAAAAGAGTCCTCTGATTGGCCTTCTTCATTTTTAGTTTTGCCAGTCAGTATGGAGGTTAAACTCTCCACCAAGTCTTGTTGACTCCCAGAATGGAGGAAATGGGAGTCATTACCAGTCCAAGCTTGCCCTACCGTGTTCTGTCTTTAGAGGTTAGATTCTCTACTGGGTCTCTGTGATCTGTGATACCAGAGCAAAAGGTGAAGTATAATGATTAATTCTGTCTTACTCAATCTCATTAAGTCTTGTTGCTTTTGAGTGAGGGGGATTTAGCTTCATTCGGCCTGCCACATATGTCCCCATTAGTACCCCAGTAGGAAATTAGAATGGTGCCTGCTTCTGCCAGGAAAATATTACCTGCTACCTCCTCATTGAGCTCCACTGATACTCTTCCTGCTGAGTCAGTGTGGCCTAGCTGCCCTGATCACAGAATCAAAGATCAAGTGGATACTCAGCTTTTTCAATACAATTGGCAGGGGAGTTGGAGATCCTCACGGTTCCTTGGGGGTAAGGGATGTTGATCTTTTGTGACTAGTACTCAGAAGCATGCTTGGACTAAGATGATTTCTGGAGCTTCCATCATTCTGTGCTGACATCACAGGAAGAGTGGAAGCAGACTGTGATTTAGTAGACATCTTAAGTATTTATTTACTCTATTCCCTTAGGATAACTTTCAGAGCATTTAACTGGATGTTTTAAAAAAATCATCTTTATCTGTTATTATTTTGTTGGAAAGCAGATATGAGAATCTACTGACAGGCTTTCCCCACCTAATGTTCCTGTACTATGATTTCAAATATGATTGTACTTTTAAAAATATGATCATAGTATGTCTTTTTTCTATTTTAGCTCAATAGTAACTCCTGTGATGACATATGGTCGCCTGGAAAGTATGGTGGACAAGTTGCACATTCATCTGCGAGACCAAGAGAAACACTTTCTTTATCAGGCCAACCAACTCAATGTTTGGAACCATACATTGATTGAGAAGAGAGATGAGGTAAGAAGATATTGTCATTGATTTTCCTGTATTGTGCAAGTATTTTCAGATAAACACAAGAGAATAGACTTTGGTTTTGTGATTAATTTTCTGTTGCAATATTGATGAGTATCTTAAAAACATTTTCTTGAGTTAATATGCTCCCTGAATTAGGGAGTGTTTGGTATTTGAGGTGTGTTTGAGAAATGTGTATTGTTTTAAAATTAATGAGAAAATTTGAATATCAACATCATTTTGTTCCTATTTCTCTTTAAAGATTACTCTTCTACATCACGAAGTGGAAAAAGTGAAGCTGGACCAGAGAAGGTAGAACCTTTGACTTCTTTGCTTGGAAGAGTCAAGATATTTTTGTTCCGTTTTTCCCCTTTGCTGTTTATTGACATTTAATTTGTTGCCCAAAATTGCTTTCATCAGCCCTTCTGTTGACTTGTTTTATTCAGGTTGGAACGGGAATTGGATTTTATCCTGGCACAGCAGAAGGAACTAGAACATCTGTTGACTCCTTTAGAGGAGTTTGTGAAGGAACAGAATGGGGCTTTTAATCTGCTGTATTTTGATAAAGAGTATGAGAGAATGTAAGTACCTGAATAAAGATTGAAGAATTGGGCAGAAGGATGGAGAAATGGAATCATAAAGCAGAGAATAAATATTGGTAGAAAAGGGCAAGCTCTTCTAGTTGGTATTTATCAGCTTGTTTGCTCCATGTTTATCTTTAACGGAGGCTTAGAAATAAAGGAATCATTCTGGCAGCTTTGTTTTATAGCATTTTCTTCACCGTTATTAATCTCAAGCTCATGTTTGTCTACTGTAAAGTTTTTATATTTGTCAAGTGTATTCTTAAATTAGAAACACAAAGCTTATGTATGATATCATATTACTGTGGAATATTTCTGGTTTCATATTGACACATCTAAGCCTAATATCTATACAGTTGTTTTAGTCATATGTATTTCAAAGACAGACTGTTCATTTGAGGATGAACTATGGTTTTCAAAATTGGAATGATTTTGTCAGCGTTTCAGGATAGGTATGTTTTATTTGTGTACTATTCAGTCTTTACCTTGTGTCTGTTCACTGTCAATGTTCCCATGGTAACTCTGTCTCTAGAACTGAGACTTGATAATCAGGCCAGTTTATAAAGCATTAAGAGACGTTGTGTGAACACACTAATAATCTAAATTGGGACTTAGACTCATTTTGTTAGTGGCTTCTTAGTGAATTGTGATGGAGCTCTTAGGTTTTGGATTTTTTCCGCTTTTTTTCTTTTTAAACAGGTTCTTACCAGTTTTGCACAGGCTTCTGTCAAACTGCTGCGTTAAAGTAATTCTGTCACCTTAGCATTCTGAGTAGAAGGAATTGCAGAAACACATCACACTGCCCAGCTGAGCTTTTGCAAGTCCTTTGCTACTGAACTTATTTTTTAAGGCTTGAATGTTAACGTTTTTGTAGGATTTTAAATGTGGATAAGTACAGCTAATCTGTACTGACCTCCATTTTATTTCTGCTTTTATATTTCTGCCTTTGTTTTCTTCCTCGTTCCTTTTTTATTTTTCTCTTCTTTCTTTGCTCTATTCTTTGGCATTGTTTCTGTAAAATATATATAGGGTTTTTTTTTTTGTTTTCTTGTTTGAGACAGGGACCATCTTGGCTGGCTTAGAACTCTATGTAGAAGAATCTGGCCTAGGACTCCCTGTGTATACCAGTCTGTCCTTGAACTCATAGAGATCCACCTCTTGAGTGGTGGAATTATAGGTGTGCACCACCAAGCATGACATATTCTATGCTTTTATCACTAATTTTTGGAGAAGGACTCATCTAGCACAAGTTCTGTAACAGCTAAGGCTTGTAGACAAATTGCTAAACAGTCTTATTAAATAAAAATCACAGAGCCAGATATTGGGGTGAAAACCTGAGAGATCAGAGGAATAGGAAAAGCCACAAGCCAACCTCACCTCACTCACACCTCAGCTTCCAAAGGGACCTACTTCCTGTCCACCCACACCTACATGCCTTTCTGTTCTGCCATCTCATCTGCTCTCTCTGTCCAGCTACATCACTTCCTCTTCCTGCTCAGCTCTGTCACTTCCTGTCTGTATGTACAGACCTCCAGACCTCCATGGTTAACTAGTGTTGGAATTTAAGGCATGTGCCACCACGCCTGGCTCTGTTTCCAGTGTGGCCTTGAACTCACAGAGATCCAGACAGATCCCTGACTCCTGAGTGATAGAATTAAAGACATGTGCTACCATTGCCTGACTTTACTATAGTGCCTGGCTTCTTCCTCTGATCCTCAGATAACTTTACTGGGGGACACAGGTAAAATATCACCACCAAGCCTAGCCTGAAATGCTTGATCCTCCTCTCTGCTTTGCAAGTGTTGTGATTATAGGACTGTGCCACCAGGCTGAAATTTATTCTATCTTTTTTCTTTTGCTTTTTAAATACTTAATATTTTTAGAATATGCTAACTGTGAATGGAGGGCCTTAGAAACATTAATTCCTTTCCAAGTACTCTTTTGTGGTCTGATTTATGTTGCAATAAAACTTTCAACAGAATTTTCAATAGTTTAGGCAACCAATTACATGTAAGTAATTTGGCATAGAAAACAATAGATAGTTACCAAGAAATCTGATTGTGTCTTTTAATTTTTTAGATAGTTAAGTTGAAAACTCTACTGGCCACTTTTAATTTTTGTAAACATATCAGTAGACTACTAAATCAATCAATCTTTCTCCATCCCTCCCCACTCCCCACTCTGTTTCACAAACAGTTTGAATGGAATTTTTGAGAATTTAGATCACTAAGCAGTTTGTAGTAAACTCAGATTGATCTACCTTTTATTGTTTGTTGTAAAATTTGTTTCTCAAAATATCCTTTGTTGCTTGCTATAGTATATCATATAAGGTTTTACGATGAAATTTTATGTATTCTCTATAATTGAAGTAATCTCAACATTTATTGAATATTACTCAACTATTCTTCTATGTAGCTAAATGCCCTATGCATACATTTTTCCCCAAAAGGGACTCTTTGATGTAGCATTCATCAGAGACTAAAGCCTTAGCCTTTATAGTCCTAGGTTATGATGGTAAGTTTACAAGCATTGAATCCATGAGACAATGTCATTGGTCATAACGGGAAACCAATGTGAATATAGGGGAATGGAGACAAATTAGTTGGCAATTACATCTGTGTTTTTCAGTTATGGTAGATGTGAGAAACTGTTTCTTGTTAATCTCTTTCTTTCGCTTGCCTTTGTAGCTACAAATTAGCAGAAACTATAGATGCTGAGCTGAAAAGAATGACTCAAGATCTCAAGGACATTATTTTTCACCTGAATTCACTTGGAAGTCCTCGTGACGCTGCTGATTCAGTATGTCCCTTGCTCTTTTTGTTTAGAAAGCCAAGATTTCATATGAAATTGGCCATCTTTGAATTCATCACAGCCCCCTGTCCTCCAGAGTACTCCTTATCTGCCCTTTAGAGATAGGAAGCTCTTAGGCATGATTTGTGGGACATAAATATTTACTAAATATTTACAGATGTGAGTTTTTGTGGTTATTCCCAGGAGGGCGAAATAAATGACTCTTTCAATGTGTTCAGGGTTTACTCTCTACATAATTAAAAATATCCTGATACTTTTTTTCACTTACTCAGTAGTTAATTTTTCATAGCATATAATTTATTTACTCATATAAATATGAGCAGATATGTCTAGGTCTATTAGACATATTCAAGCACTTTTTAACTTACATCTTTAGAATGTAGTGACTTAACTATTAAGACTTAACATTTTTCCATAGAATTTTTTGTTAAATATTGTCATTATGTTTCACAGAATACTATTAGTTCATAAAGCAAATACATTATATTATAGGGATGTATGGCTTAGGATCTTGTTAGAAATGAGATTCTGTGAATTAATTTGGCAGTAAGAAAGAACCAGGGTTTCTTTTTCATTTTTTATACTCTAGTTACAAAGAGCTTATTTCCTCTACCTTTTCCTTTTGTCTCAGCAGCATAGATGAAGCCCTCTTTTCCCCACTCCTGCTAAATGGCACTAGTGTTAAGAGGAGTCTCGCATTGTAGGGGCTTCTATTGTGCTTTCTATCATTAATTATAAGTAGCAGTGAGGCTAGGATCTCGGTAGATGAGAATTAATAACATACACATAAGTGGTGGTTATTTTCTAGCAAGTTCTTTGTCCAATTAGATGCAGACTGTCCTTTCTGTACATACATATTATTACTGAACTTTTTAATCATGAAAACACAGCCAGTTACAGTTGAGAAACTATTAGAATTTTGTTTGGCACATAATCTCTTTGTGTCTTGGCTCCTTCTTTTGCAAAATGTCAAGGGTAGAATAAATGATCTATAAGTCCCTTTCAGCTATAATACAATGCTATTCTCTACTTAGCATCAATCTAAAATTGAACAATGATACATATAAATTAGTCTGGAATTACCAATGCTACCATCTGCCCTGTGTTCACAAAGATGATCATGAGTCAACAAAGTGCATTTCTGTTAGATTCCAAATGCAATTTCAAAATTCAAAATTGTTTTATTGTAATAGGCTTCTGATGCAGAGATAAACACAAACCGATTTAGAGATGGTGCCTAACTGATGTCTAGTCTTGGAGTGCTGAATTGATATGAGAAGTGTTGTCAGTAGAGTTAGTAAACTCCTATCTTCATCGTTTTCCCAACTTCGCCCACTAGTTTTACTAGTGAATAGCAAATAGTCATATGTTTTCATTTTTCATGGTGGGGATAATTGAGATGTTTAAGATGAGTGAGTTAAGGGTAATTCTTGTGTGATAGCAGGACAAAGGAAGCAAGAGATCATCCCTTTTTCAGATAGCATAAATCATTGGACAGAAAGTAGGAAAAATCACACCTGCTGAATGATAATGTCCCTGTGGATAATGTAACAATCATCACAAAGCCCTGTTACAGTGGATTATATATCATGGTATGGAAGTAGAAGCTATGTGTTCCAGCATTCCTAGTGCTGGGATCAATGACTTCTAGTGTGTGTGTGTGTGTGTGTGTGTGTGTGTGTGTGTGTGTGTGTGTGTGTGTGTTTGTGTGTGTGTGTGTGTGTGTGTTGGGATAAATGGGAGAGACCACATAATACTTAAATATTTTATTAAACATTATGTTCTGTTACCCAGTTATATTTTATAAAATCCATAAAGTAAATTAAAACATCAACATTACCAATCCCTTCTTACTATATTACTTCTAGTCTTTTTGCAATGCTGGAAAAAATGTTCTTCTGTTTAAATAAAATCAGAAACATACGTATAGTGATTTTTACTTTCCATTTTCATAGTTCTCTCTCGAAATTTTCATCATTCTTTGACAATGTGAATTTTATTGCTGCCAAGATATTTCTCCATTTTTATTGGTAGAGATATTGTTTCCAAATTTTGGGCAATATAATATAACCTTATAGTGACCAGTTATATTTAGATTTGGGTAGGCTTCTGGAAGTAGAATATACTGAGTAAAAAGGTATAAATATTTTAAAACTATTGACACATGCTATAAAAATTTACATTTGGAAATCTGAGCAATTTATATTACTGTAGAATGTATATTAATGTATTGATTTTTCCTACTTGCAAATTGAGCATTCCAAATCTGAAATATTGAAATCTTAAATGCTCCAAAATCTAAAACTTTTTCAGTGATGAAATGATGTACAAGTGGAGAAGTCCACACCCATAAAATGGGTCACAGCCAAAAAATGACTGGCATAGATTAACTGGGCATGTAGCTCAGTGGTCAGAGTCTTCTGTGGCATATGAGAAACAAACAAACCAAAACACACACACAACTGCAGTTACAATACAAATATTACATAACATCATCTTCAGGTTATATGGACAAGATATGCATGACATAGAAATTCCATGTTTAGGCTTATTTCCCATCTCCAGGATATTTCATTATATATAATATAATGTTCCAAAAATTTGAAATAACTGAACATTTCTTTTTCAAGCATTTTAGGGGAGGAATAGTCAACCCGTACTTGACTGTTGAATGTTATTATTTTTAAAACAGTGAATTTGAGGAGCCCTGTTTGTTGGTAGACTCCTGTAGACCCAGCACTCAGGAAGCAGAGGAAGGGGCTGGGCTCTATGGTTAATTCTAGGCCAGTCTGTCCTACTTACAAAGCCTCTGTCTCAAAAACAAAAACAAAACAAAACAAAACAAGCAATTGCTGATTTGATTGACAAATTTGATGTTCTTAATTTTATGTGGATTGATTCATTTGTTTTCTTTTGAAATATCTTTTAATGTCTTATATTTTTATATTGTGCTTGTCAGGTTTTTTTTTTATTGATTTGTAGGAATCTAATTCCTGACAGTTACAAAATGAATAGATTGAACTAATGCATAAAAGTAATTAGCGTTATAAGTATGAAATGGCAAAACACCATTAATATGAAATTCATTGTCAGTGCACCACTTACCAGAAGAAAATTAAATATTCCTTCCTAATTTCAATTTCCTATGTTTCTTTGTTTTTGTTTACTACATTAGAATAATCATAATCTAAAAATCTCTGGTCTATTTTCAGGTTCAGCAGATTTGCAAAATTCTGAATGCTCACATGGAGTCTCTGCAGTGGATCAGTCAGAATTCAGGTGGGTGTTTGTTCTGTATATCATGTTGTAGGTATGAAAATATTGTACAACACACATTGTGCTCTCAACGACCACACCGACATAAGAGCTATGCTGAAGGGTTGTTGTTCAACGCATGCCCATATGAACTCTGAAAAATTAAGTAGAAATTTAATAAGAAACAGTGAATGGATAGAGGTAGTGTATTGATTGTATGAATAGAAGCAGAACTTTAAAATTTATCTTTTGTATACAGTTTTGATCTCAGTAAAACAGATGTTTTATACACTCAGAATTAGACCCCGAAATGGGAAGAAAGACAAATACTGAAGACGCTCCCAAATCAGTACAGTTATAACATTCTAATTCAGTGCAGATAACCATTGAACACATCATTCCTTTTTGAGTGTGTTGTTTGTGAAGGTGTGCATGTGTACGTAAAAACTTCATGAACTCACAGTTATACCCTTTAAAAGAGAGCAAGAAATGAAAGGGAGAAGGGGAAATCTGTATAGAATTATGCGAACAAATAGTTATAGAAAGTGATAGAATTAGCAAACTACAATTACAAGTTTTTCATGGAATATTTTAAGTTCATCTTCATCTTGAATATTCTGCCTCATTTATAAAATCTTTCAACCGATAGTCCATTTCTTGGCAGAAAAACATGCTAGCAGGAAAAAGTACCAAATAAAGACTATTGGTTATTCTGTTAACTTTCTAAAAATAGTCTTGAGGCACAGTTTCCATACCATGGAACTCAGCATTTTAGTTGTTTACATCAATGGGGAAATCATGATTTTACATTTGTGCCATAGTAGCTGATTTAGGGAAGGGTCACCAATAAATGCTAAAACTACAAAGTTAAAGTTCATTCAGGAATATTATGTTCGTGTGTTCCTAAAATTTATTACTCCATGTATTGGTTAATAATTATGATTACAAAAGGGAAGAGAAGCTTTTATAAGAGCTATCTTACGTATACCACTCTCATGAAGTGATCAAACTGGACCTGACCAATAATGGGTAAGGTGGTTAGTGTGCCTCATGATTTGACATGCATGATAAGTACATGCTATCACTTATGTAGTATTAGTACCCAAAATTTTCACCTGAAACTAATCACAAAATCATATATTCTGGTGTACACATTCTGAAATAACATTGTTTTGGACTATTCAAAAGGTCAGTCATGAAAAACAACAAATTAAGGAAAGAGTCATTGATTAAAAGAGAGATGATTAAATACACTACCAGAACTCAAACAGGCATTATTTCAAATAATTAGGGATTTAGAACTGTATGCAGTCTAGATATTAAGAAAGTGTTCATCTTCTTAGGTGTGATATCATCATTATGTTAGAAAATATTCTCCTAGAAAATACAGCAGAATTTGTGGTAAAGCAGTGAGCTAATCTAGATAAAGGGCGTACAAGTATATTACTTTTAATATTCACTATAATTTCCTACAAATATAAAATGTAAACCAGGTAAAGAAAATAGCATGGAAAGGGGAGTTGAACACAAAGTGCTACCCCCTAGCCATGGAACTTTTTGGCAATTTTTAGCTGCTGGGAGAGGGGTGTCACTTTTCTTTAAGAGTATAGCCCCCTGGAAAGTCAGCCATGGTCCAGGCCGAAGGCCACACATTCAAGAATATTTGGATAGCACAAATTGGCCTTCTTGGGGAAAAAAGGACACAGCGTCACATGTGTAGGGAAGGGTGTGTGGATCTGGGATGAGTTGAGGGAGAGAGGGTGAATATGATCAAAACGTATTTTACAAAATTCTGAAAGAACTAATAAAAACATATATTAAAAAATAGGACAATCCATTTTATAAACTTTGCCTAAATGTGGGGATATGATGATATATCAGGAAAAAGGAATATGAAACTTAAGTCAACCAAGCAATTACAAGTTTTCAAGACATAGTCATAAAATAATACATTTGTTTTCTTACTTGGCTTCCTGGGTTTCCTCCTTCTCTGAACTAGTAGACATCGACTACAATGAATTTCTTCAGTGTCTTTCTCTTAGAAATATACCTATATTATCATTCATTGTTACCTGCTTTTTCCCTGTGTTCGAGGAAGAAATGCCCTGTCACTTCCTAAACTGTGTTTAGAATCATTGCAGGGAAGTTAAGTTCTATATTTGCACAGGCATTTGTTAAAATAAGGAGATGCATACTGTGGTGGTTTGAATGAGAATGGCCCCCATAGGTTCATAGATTTGAATTAGTGGGCCCTAATTGGTGGAACTGTTTGGGAAGGATTAGAGGGTATGGCCTTTTTAGAAGAGGTGTGTCACCGGGATGGGATTGGGGGTTTCAAAGGTCCAGGCCATTCCCAGATAGCTCTCTCTCTGTCTCGTGCTTGTGGATTGAGATCTGCATTCTCAACTACTGCTTCAGTGCCATACCATATCTGCTTCCATGATGCCATGCTCTCCACCATGATGGCCATACACTCTAACCCTCTGCAACTACATGTCCCAAAGTAAATGTATTCTTTTATACATTGCCTTGGTCATAGTGTTTTGTCATGACAATAGGAAAGTAACTAACACACACACACACACACACACACACACACACACACACACACGTATATATTCAGGTCAGGTTATTACCTCTTTTAGTATGCATTTAGTCTCTATGAAGATTAAAAGAAGCTGTGGGTAGCTTTCTTTGAATAGTGCTTTATCCATAGTTGGTAATCAGTGGGAAGAACTAGTCACTGATTGTGAAAATTGGTGTTGTATGTGTGTAGGGGTGGAGATAAGAAAGGTCATGGGGTTCAAAGGTCACTATTAAACTGGATCTAGAGAAGCTAGTTCCAGGTTGTCATTAAATACCACTTGCATAGAGAAAATTATAGAGTAACTAAGAAGTGGGAAAATGTTAATAACCATACAATGCCAAAGAATGAGATTATACAAAATTTTCCTGTGTGTTGCTTATTTTTCTACAGTGAACAGTACTTTTGGGGTGGAGTTAAAGGAGGTGTCACAAGGTAATTTGGGTTATAAAGAAAAATTGCAGTGATTTTTTTTCTTGGTGGGGATCCTCTTTGTCATAAATGAAATCTCAAGGCTCCCAGCCAGTGTTTTCTTTATAAGACTAAAGTTGTTAGTGTTGCAAGTGATTTGCTTTATATAAGTCAAGAAACTGTGGCCCAGAAAGGTTTAATGACTTCTTTAGAACACACAGCTAGGACCAATCACAGAAAAACTGGGACCAGGATCCAGATTTCCTTATGTACAAAGCACTATTGTTAATTCTGGTGTGCTTTTCAAACAATGTGGGTATGGTTAGATATAAAAACAATTCTTAATCATGTACAAAACAGTAGAGGACAGGGTTGTCAAACACGATAATATTTTGGATGGGATGTAAATTTTAGGTGTCTGAATAAAGCTCTCAGTAGGGAGTGATGATTAATGGGGCTTCCTTATTTGCTAAAGATTCATTTGAGCTAAAGAAGCAATGCCGTGTTGTCGAGGCGGCGTTCATTTGAGATGGAGGCGCTGCGGAACAATGGGGAGAGCCTGCTAATTCCTGATAGTGCAAGCTTCTTTTTGCCATTCCCACCCAACAAGCCTTTCATTTTCATATCAGGAAATGGGGTGATCGAGAAAACGGAGCATAGCGGGGTTTAATTATGCTGTCCAGGAGAGGATTTTTTTCCTTGTTTTATTTTGCTTTTTAATAGTTAATTGGATCATGTCTGCTGAAATGGTCTGTGGACTGAAAGTTTTAAGATTAAATGAGTCCATTTGTTCACATTCAGAGAGCAGTTATAGAAAAATGAATGAGTGTGTTATTCTGGCAATACAAATATTATATTTTACTAAAGAGAAATCATTAACTCATATAAAATCAAATCTTTATTTTAAAAGGTTTCTGGGAAATGTTTTTGTGACTTAATATCTGTAATATTGGCACAAAAATTTTCCATCATAAAACATGGCAGCTGTTACATGAAAAAGATCACATATTTAACTGAAAAATCATTTCTTTAAAAGTGATTTTGATGAATATTATTAACTGAGAAAAGCTAAAATGAAAAGACTATATACTGTGTGATTCCAAATATATGACATTCTGAAAAAGGCAAAGCTGTGGAGATAGTAAAAAAGATCAGTAGTGGGTGTGGTGATGAATAGACAGAACACAGAGCAGCAAAAATACTTTCTATGGTACTGTAGTGATGGATACCTATCATTATACCTTTGCTAAAACCTGTAGGATGAACATCACTGAGTGTGAGCTTCAGTGTAAATGATGGACTTAGGGTGGTAATGGTAGTTTTATCAGCTGCAAGAAATGCACCCCTCTGGTATGGGATGTTGGTAGCTGGGGAGGCTGTGCTCCTGAGGGTAGAGCATGGAGTATATGGGAAATGTTTTTATCTGGGCAATATTTCCATGAATTGAAAGTTACTCTGAAGAGTCTAGTTTCTTTCAAAAGAAAAATAAATGAAATTAAATAAATAAAAATGAATTGGAAATTGAACATTGCATACACTCTAAGTATATTAACACATTAAATTCATTGTCCAATCAACTTTTCAACATCCACAAAGAAGGTGTGGCAAACCATGCTCCATTTGTCCTCTAACTTCTACATGATCTATAGGGATAGGACACAAATAGAAGGGGATCAGAGACCATCAGATTTAGGGGAGCCTGAATACACTCAGGATTTCAAATGTGATGCTTATTCACTGGTAGACATCATCCATGTTTCTTTCTTGCGGTTAGTATAGTTAAGAGTGAGTAGTAGCCCCAGATCCAAATATTTGTTCCCTCTCTCGTCTTCCTTTTTGTAAAATTTACAGCATTATTTCAAGGTTGACTTGATGATAGTGCTGCAGTCCCACATCTGTCTTCTGAGTTGGCAGTCACTGAAGCTGCAGCTACTCTAGCTCTTCTGGGACCACTTAGACAGAATTGGCAATCCATCTGAGGCAATTTGTTATTTGTTTTTAGTATGTGGAGCTACTTCTGGCAGGGGAG